AGAATGGAAATTTTGGCAATTCAACTTTTGATTCTCTGCACTTTCGCAATGTTCCACATAAATTTTGAATACATTTATGTTTAGCGTTATCTGAAGGCTTTAAGATTTCTATGGAGATTGGATTAAAGTGTATGCACTTTTTAACTACACACGAAAAAACGAAAACTTGATATTATTCAAAGCAACATGATATCATTCATATAGAATGGAATCTATTTTTAAAATTTTAAGTTGATCAAAATTTATATTAATTAAATATTATCGAAAACATGTGATATCATATCATATTTATTGATAGCTTGACAACAGCAGTCTTTGGTTTTTCAAAGTCAAAGGAAGTAAGAGTGTTGATTAATAACATTTCAGCCCTGAATGCCTTTCGCCACACATAGTTCAAATAAAAAAATTGGGACATCCAATTATTTGTTGATCTGCTTCGGTGACCATGGACATTGCTGCTGTTAATTTCGTAATTTTTTGTTTGCTTAGTTATTGTTTTCATTCAATCATAAAAAATATTTGCATAAACGAGTGCCTATCCATGTGTGGACATTCGTGCATATTATTGCATTTGTGCAGCAGCTGCAATTGCTTAACCAAACGCCCCCGCTGGCAAACACACTGGGTACTCTGGTTACATTACAGACAAAAGGAAATGCCAATGAAAGGCACAACAAATACAATAATAGCAAAAAAAGAGAGCATTACGAGAATCAACAAAAAATATAAGTTATTTGTACGCACATAACCCCGAGTCGCATGATTTATGCTGCCTTAGAAATGATACTATATTGTATTTGGAGGGGGGTATATCCCCCATATACATATAGCTCTGTCTAAAACTTTCTTTTGCTTTTCAGATCCCGCCATGGGTAATGCCGGCTATACATGCATACGCCGCACCTTTTGCTGGCTCAACATAATTCTTTGGGTAAGTTATTTTACTAAACATCTTTGCAACATTTTGGAAATATATTAGGCTTCCGAAATTCCTTGACAAAAATATTTAATCTTTTTTATGGCTCTTGGCTCAATTTCTATTAAAACGGAAACAACATTATCTTTTCAAAGGGTAAAGTTAAATTCAAGGTTCTAAATTTTTCAATATCACTTTACCAAAACGATCAAAATAATATAATTATATGATATAGGATTTTTAAAAAATATTTTGTTTTAATTTCATAAAATTAAAATATAAGTAAATTAACATTCCTTAAGTAAGTTGTTCCATTTTTTTCTAAGTGCAGATGCTGAGGACGGATATGCAGCATCAGAAACAGAGAATAAACCTGTAGAAGTAGGAACTGAAATCGGTATGAGAATCAGAATCAGAATCAGAAGGTAGAGTAGCTAATCGTAACTTTGCCGTCGTCTGCAGCGGAAGTGTCTTTGTGACAGCATGTTGCATTGTCTGAGCGCCTGTCATTGACTTTTTGCCTTTGCTTTTTGGTTCAGTTCAGTTCAGTTTCAGTTTCAAACTCGACTTTGACTTTGGCGGTGAGATGGCTTTCAGTTTTCTGAATCTGAATGGCAATCTGCAGCTGTTGCTTCCGGCCCCCTTTTTCCCCAGTGGGGTTCCCCCTAATGTCACATGCCAGCCTTTGTGGACATGCAACAGTTGTGCTCTGCCTTCAGCTGCATTCAGCTGCCAATCGGGGGAATTATCTGATCACCCCTCTGGAGGATAGATCCTCCAATGGCAATTAATCAAGGTCTGTGTCCAAATGACATTGGCTAGAAACAAAACGGCTGCTTAAATACCCCGACAGAGCTGTACATCAAGATTATTTCATTAATGACTTTGATTTTTTTTAGAAATGTACTTTCAAGAGCTCATTTGGTTCTGCAACTAAATAAGTCTATGTTACAAAATTGGTGCTTTATGCTAAGGGATCTTGTTTGTTTCTGAGAAAAAGGACTGCGAAATTGGAGAAATTAATTTTTGAACGCTTTTAAAAGCCCTTAATTTAACTTCCGAGTCCTTTTTTCAAAATAATTTAGGGATATTTCTGACGTCATTTAAAATTTTAGCTTCTTTGTCGTATAAACGTTCCAACACAATATTTTCTGACAATCCTTGTGTTAGATATTATAATCGTAAACATATTTAGAAATTGAGCATCAAAGAACAATACGATCCATAATCCTTTGTAAGGTAATTTTTTGCTGTAACACAGTGTAGTTGGAACAGTAAATTTATTTACTAACAGCGAATCCTTTTAGTAAATGGTTATTAAATGGTATCATTTTTCTTTAAGTTCCTAGTCAGAATTAGTTGTGGTTAGAGTGTGTTCCCAAGGGAATGCATTGTCCTTTCTCTTTTTTAGCATTCTGCGTGGTAATCAGTGCCTTTCTAATTTCCCATTTCCAATTGCAGCTGTGTAGCTGTGCGTTTTTAGGAGCCGGACTGTGGTTGCGTCTGAGCTACGAGGGCTACGCCACTTTGCTGCCCCAACACGCCGGCTTGAGTGCGGACACCATCTTCATGGGCATCGGGGGCACCGGATTCGTGGTCAGCTTCTTCGGCTGCTGCGGCGCCTGGGTGCAATCCCGCTGTCTTCTGGTACTGGTGAGTGAATGAAGGTCAGGGGTATGGATACTCCAAAAATAGTAGTATCTAAGAGTAAGCCAAATTTTAAGCCGTCACAATGTGGGGGCGTATAACAAAAACCCCCAACATTTTTTTTAAACATCAAACAATGTTAAAATGTAAAAATAACAAAGCAAAAATGCATACTTTATCCGATAAAATTTATAAAGAAAATTTTCAGTTGCACTTAAAGCGTTTGAAACTGTTAAATTTAAAAATTCTAGTTAGGTTTAAAGTATTTTTAATTTAAATTTACTTCTTTCAAAAGTTGATCAATAGTTTTAGTTTTTTACTATTTTCTATTCTCCCTGTATTTAGTTTTATTCTAGAAAGTAATATTTTTAAAATATCTGTAGAAATATGGCATTCATGTCGTATGAGTAATTTTTTCGGCACGCCATTGTTCAAGGAATCCACAACTCAATATTACCATTTATTTATGTTTTTGAATAAAAATGATTGCCTTATATTCGAGGTGTCACAGAAATCTCTTCTAGCTAAAAACGATTGGAATTCGTTGGGAATTAGGGATTATATACTTCAAGGATTATTTCAACCTATTCTAATTACTTTCTTTCTGTGTAATCCACACGACGATGGCATATCTCCTCCGGTTCCACACAGTACTTCATGCTGATTGTGTTGCTGTTCATGAGCGAGTTCCTGGTGGGCTCCATCGCCTTTCTCTTCCGCGGCGGACTGGGACGGACTTTGGCCAACGAGCTGCGCTTCGGGATCGAGCGGCACTACAACACCAGCGATCGGGGATCTCTGGTGGCGCCTTCGGTGGCCTCCATTTGGGACAGTGTGCAGCATTCGGTGAGTGGCGCCTTTCCCTTTTTCACCTAGATTATAACACAGACCTTGTTTGCAGTTTGAGTGCTGCGGCGTTTCCTCTTACGAGGACTGGTACGACATCCAGTCGTGGCCGGGAAAGCGCTGGGTGCCCGAGTCCTGCTGCAGGACCCTCTATGACCAGCGCCAGGTGCTCACCGAAGGATCCGGCGACGGAATGATGCGCGCCGACTGCGGCAGGTGGGTGATAGTGCTCCCATTTCGGGGACACTCTGGTTTAGTTCATATTAAATACAATACAATGATTTTATCTGAGAAGACCACAGTTATACACTGTTTGTGTGGCGGCAGAGACCCAGCAGATCAAATTTCCCATGCCCGCTTGATAGCAAGCTAAAAACCACTGATGTAAAATTGTCTAAAAGTATGCTATGACTACAGTCTTCATCTTAGAAGTATACAGTTCTGCAGCATACTTTTAGACACCTTTTTAAATGATTTCAAATAACTGACAATTATGTTGATCAACTATGGTTCTTGTTGTATCTTCTAACCGATATGTTAAAATGCATTTATTATTATATATTACCCATCAGATCCGAGAACCCGTCGCTGTGGTGGGACAAAGGCTGTGCCCATTCGCTCCAGAGTTGGTTTACGGGACAACTGAATGTGGTGGGCGCCGTGGGACTGGGTATCGCCTTTGTCCAACTCTTCGGACTGATCACCTCGATGCTGCTGTTCTGCACGGTGAAACATAAACGGGCCTCGGACACCTACAAGTCGTACTCCCCGTCTATCGACCCTCAGACCCGCACCAGCAGTTGGGAGGACTGAACGCGCCTGTAACGGCGGTTGGCGAACTTCTAAATCGGGGGCGGGGTCGAAATCATCCCCAACTCTGTCGCTATCTCTATACTTTTTGTTAACTCTCCTAGTTTCTAATTCATTCTGCGAAATGTGCCAAAAATTAATTTAATTCAGAGTGTATTTTTTTGTTTTTTTGTTGTAATCTGTAGGCGAAGACATATCGAACAAAATTCAAGGGACTAAGATGGTGTGTTCGCACTGAAGGCAGTGTGAACCAGACATAATATTCCCAGTGAAACAATCACATATTTACAAAGATGTTTAGTTAGCGGTGTATCCATATTGTGATGTGCTCTCTAGTAGTATAGTATATGGCCCAAGACCCGAAACACACACAAACACACATAAAACTGGGTACAGTGCGTTTCATACTTATCAGGCAAGCAGTTAAAAGAGAAATCTGTTCCGCTCACTGTACCACAAATACCAGCTAGTGTGAACAGGGCTTAGGACCCAAATATGTATGATCGTAACCCTTTAACTAAAACAATATATAACCTATATATTTATACATTACAATACAAGTATACTTATGTTACTTTATGGAACTTTGTAGTATTCGAAATAGCAGAAACCGCAACTGCCCGAAAAGCAAGAAAACCCAGAAGACGAGGAGGAGGAAGAGGAATAAATGGAAGGGGAGGGAAATAGTTAAAGCAAATATTATTACTACTATGAGTATGATTATTTTATTTATACATACATATATTTATATCGAAATACATTCCTACACAACATGTTCGTGTTAAGTTACAAATAAATTAAAGTATTTATTTAAATTACAAACAAAAAGCATTTATGATGGTTTATAATGGAGTGCCGTTAAAGGCCCACCAGTTTGCCACCGATAATATCCAATTGAGCGGTAATTCCCTTCGTAACGCTGCGCGCCAGCTCTTTGGGTTTCTGCAAGAGAAAAATGGAAGAGTGGAAAAGGGGAAGAGAATGGTCAAAAGGGGGAAAGCTGGAACTGACCTTGGTCAAAGCAAACATACGACTAATTGCATAAGTAGTGCCAACGAGCAGTAGAGCCGCCAATCTGGCTTTCTTTTTATCCCCAAATCTAGCTTTTTTTAAGCTGTTCAAACTGGAGAACTTACTAACTAATGTTTTTTTAGCACCCAATTTTAATCATTTTTCATAAGTTTCCGATGCTAAAAAGTTTTTGATGTATCCATATCATATTTCATTACGATAAAAGTTTTGAAAAAAAAAATATTTTAAATTCAATACTCAGTAAACATAAAAAACTATTTTACAAGAAAGGAAACGTTTCTAAATTCTGTTAGATATTTAAGTAAAATAAATTTAAATTTATTATGGTCATATGAAACTTGATTAAATATCGATTTACTGACTGGTTTTATTTTAAAAGTCCTGGTAGACCAAATATGTATAGTATGTTTTCATATAAATATAAATTCATAAAATATTGTTCAGCTGTAGTCTTTTTCCTCTATGTTGCCATGGCATTTATAAATAATCCTAGTTGTCTAATCAAAATTTAAGAATGTGTCGTATGGCCAATATATATATATATGAGTTTTAAATTCTTTGATTGATTTAAAAATATGTAATGTGGATCAACCTTAAAATCATATATATGTCAGTTATTTAACATAACTTTCTTATAAAGGTAATGATAACCATTTTTTCGCTGCTCAAGAGGAGCAGCACTGGCAAAGAGATCACAGGTTCGACAATCAGTCTCTCAAACTGCAATGGGTGTATTATGTAACGTGTGTGCGAATGGATCCACCGTGGAAATAAGGCAAGCAAACACAAACAAACAAAACAATTTCGGCACTCACCTGTATGAAGGTGTTGAGCAGGTTGGAAAAGGCCTCGTAACCGTTGACAATGGATCGCGAGATGCCGTCGAACATGTCGCCATTGTTGCCGTACTTTTCGTGCTCACTGATCGTATCCAAAATGGGAACGGGCTGCGATCGGAATTGGAGTTAAATGGGTCAGTATGGGGGATACCATTGCATCACTTACCTGGACCAAATCGGCCAACTTCTTCTGGCTATTGTCGTACACACTTAACACCTTCGAGGGAATGGCCTCCTGCTCCAGATTCACAGACTCCGCCGTTTTAGCCGGAGTTGGCAATAGTGAGATCTGTTGAAAAAAGAGTTACTTGGTTACTACAAAAATGATAATATCTTAGTACATAAGATGATACATTTTGAATACCTAATACATTTTACTATAAATAATGTTGGAATTGTTATTTTAAAACTTTTAAGTCATTTCCAATAACTAAAAAACATTTAAATGATTTTAAAATTAAAATAGGCACCGTATTCATATTTTAGAGAATTGATTGATTGTTAAAAATTGTCTAAAAAATAAATATACAAAAATAAGATTCAATAACTTGCTAAAAATATAATAATTTTTACTTTACATGGATGCCATCAAGTGCTAAAAAAAGCAAACAAATTATAAGTGGTTGTAAATCCCACTATTGTGGTTTGTTGTTATGTGCTTGGTGTTATTTTCCGGCCTCCGACCTTGGGTGGGATGCACCAGCCCCTGCACTGGACCCCTTGACCTCCACTCACCTTGAACCCGGCTTCGCTGGCCTCCGCTTGCGTGGATTCCGCTGAGCTGTCGGCGGCATCAAAGGCATCTTGGGCTCCAAATTCGGCGGCCGAGACGCGGGCGTCAATGGGCGTGGCGCCGTCGGGCGTGGCAGGAGCGATGGGCGTGGCGGCGATGCAGTGCATCATGGTGCAAAGAAGCAACAGAAGATGCACCCTCACATGTTGCCCAATCATCTTAGTTATTTCTTTCGAGCAGAAAGGGAAATTGCCAAGGTATAAACACTTATGAAATCAGGTGAAGACGTCCAGCTTTCAGTTTCCCAAGCCAAATTCAAATTCACATCCAAATGCAGCCGCGGATCCCACTTAAAGCTTCGATCCGAAGTCTGTCGAGTCCAAAATTCAACTGAATGGCCGCGTCTGCGCAACGATTTTATGGGTTTAACCCGACCACGAGAGTCGCCGCTTTGGACATTGAGCCACGATCGTTTTTGGCTTTAGTTTGGGTTTCAGCTGGAGCTCAGGTTTTCAGGGGGCATTCGGGGGCTAACGACTTCTAGGGCCACTGCAAACAAAATGCAAATAAACGTTACTTTTATTTGATACAAAACATGATCCAAAGAGTTTATTTTAGTCACACAGAAATAATATTTTCTTACGATTTACAAATTAGTGGAGCACTGAAACGAAAGTTGAAGAGTATAAATAAATATATGTTTTTTTAATGAATTTTTAAATGACATACAAAAAGAGGGATATAATAATATTAATAGTAATAGTAAGGAAACAAATACAAAGCGAATAATATTAAAATTGAATATGAAATCTTTGGACTTACTTCGTTTTTATATCAGTGTAATTAATGCAATGTGTTAATACAATGCTGATTTTTTACATATTTCGTTTAAAGGAATGGATACATTTTTCTAACGCAAGCTCAACAAATACTAAGTGTTATCCAAAACCCCACTCCAAGTCTCTAAAGCCGTCCCAATTTTTTCCGACAGTGTAGCGTATGGATTGTAATACTAATGACAACAACAAAACAGCAATAAAACGGTAACAATAACAACAAGCTCGAAACCGGCAACTTGTTGCTGTCAACAACGTTGCCGCCATTCTGTCGCAACAATGAGGAAGGAAACTCGGCTTACTCAGCTTACTCAGTTAGTTGGTCAATCGGTAGACGCCCCCTCGCCCCCACACACATCCACGCAATCCACCTGATGGTTGTGCAATTATGACTCCACACTGGGAGAAATTCCATATTACTATTCATAACGAATTCTGCAAAGCCGAGCAAAGGCTGCCATCCCATTTTGGAAATAAAATTACTTTTCACCTTCAATAAAAATCTACAAAAATGAAAATCCACACTTTTCTTCCAGTGAAGTGACCACCCAAGACCCAGTTTTACTTTCCATGGGAGGCGATCAATAAAGAGATTTTTATTTTTAAAATGTTGTCGATGTGGTTTTTCAACTTCTACAGCTGGTGTCATAATCGCCGGAGTTTTGGAGAAGCCAATGGGCTAGGATTCGTTAGGATATGAAGATATTTATTTGCTATCATCCACGGGCATTCAGAGAGGGTCCGTTTTGTAGGCCTCGTCGTAGAGTGCCTCGTCGCCGATGGTGAGGACCAGGGTGTCATCATATTCCTGGGCAATCTGGGCGTCTTGGGGCACCTGAGCTTCCTTGTTGGCCTGCGGATCTTGGTCAGGAGGAGAGGGCCTCGGAGACATCGGAGGCATCGGAGGCATCGGAGGTGTTGGAGGCGACGAAGACATCTTAGTTACCTGAGCCAGGCGCTTCGTTATCACGTCCAGTCGTTTCTGGGCAGAACCCACCAGGCCCTTGGAGTCCACCACGACCGTGAGGTCCTTCAGATGGCGCAGCAGGTTATCCACCCGCACGTTGAGCAGGGATGACGGAGTGTTTCGGTAGGCAGGACCAAAGAAATGAGTTCGCTGGTAGAGCGAATTTGCATTCGAATGCGAAGAATGCGAAGAATGCGAAGCATGCGAAGAACTCGAAGAATGCGAAGCATGCGAAGAACTCGAAGAATTCGAAGTACTCGAAGCATTGGGCCCAGAACGGCTCGGCACGAAGTTCGTCTTCTTTACATTCTTAAGGTAGTAATCATCTGGGACAAGAGGTTCCATTAACTCCCTGAAATCCCCTCGCTATAAGAATTCACTACTCACCTAAAGACATCGAGAGGAGTTCCTCATCGAAAACCCTTTTTCCGCTGGTAACTTTCATTTTTTTTCTTTTCAGTTTAATTTTTTCGCAAGATAGAGCTCTTTATATGTCACAGACCTTTGGCTTGTCAAGTGAAATAGAATGTTCTATGACCGTCTATCAATAATGAAAACTTGTGACCCCTAGGCTTTAGGGTGAATCTTGTCAAGAAGCAGTGTTTGAAAAGTTAAGTGCCTGGGGGGGGGCGTTTTTTTGATAGGTTAAAATGGTTACATTCCTACTTCTAGCAGTTTTATTCAAAATATCCCAATGAAAGGGTTGTTGCATAGTACTTAAGGGGTTATATACCTTCTTGAGCGAAAAAATTTAGGGAACTTTGGATTTTTTTTCAGGTGTGTAGCAATTATTTTATGACACTGAAGTTATTATTTATTGATAGTACATGTTCTTATCGAAACAACAAGCGTTTGTTCTTCAAAAAATATAAATAATTTACGAAGTTATGGCAATTCTCTCGGAACCCTTTTTTTATAGCGGCTTGCGGTGACCACGATGGAAGTCCAGCAGGTCAACTGATATCAAAAAACCAAAAAAATTTTATTAGTATAGTATTATTTCCAGTTCGTGAACGATTATTTTCAAGAATATTTGGTTTTTTCTGCATACAGTAACAATTTTTCCAAAAAGTTGATTTTTCGAGTTCTAAAAATTTTATCAAAAAATTCTGATCTGCAAAATCAAAATTGGCGCATAAAAACTGAATCGTTCACGAACTCGGCACAATCATTACGAATAATTTAAAAAAGAAATGAAGAAGATCGATGAAATAGTTCTTGTGCAATCGCGGCCACAGCAAAGGCACTTTTGGAAAAACACGACTTTGAGATAATCGCATTCAAAGTTTTACGTTGAGTATATGCAACTATTGAAGTCGAGCAGACAAACTTACAAGTCATCGTCGATCTATTATTCGGATCTCTATGAAAATTTGCGAAAATGTTCTCTAGGGGATATACTTTCGGATTCAGCAAAAAAAAAAATCAAATCAAGGCGTACAGCTAAAAGACCGACTGTTTTGAACAGCTTGCTTCCTATGCTAACGATTTTAATCACTTTAAAGAAAATCTATTTTTTGACCAAATTTCTCATTTTTTTAAGGGGGTGTATCGCCTTTTTTTTGCGAAAAATGTGAAAAGTTAAAAATTTTCAGGTTTTAATGCCAATCGAATGGAAATCAGGCAACGAGCTCAACGAGGTATGACACTCCTCGATCTGACGTTTATTTTCTTCGTAGCGGCCAAAAAACTGAATTTTTAGGGCGAAAAAATAGGGTTCCGATTTTAGGTAAAAATACGAGATACAGATTTTAGTCAAAAATACGATTTTTCTTTCCAGTTTTTCAATCGTAGTTTGGTCAAAACAAGGCGTACAGCTAAAAGACCGACTGTTTTGAGCAGCTTGCTTCGTATGCTTACGATCCTAATCACTTAAGGGAAAATTTGTTTTTTGACCAAATTTCTTATATTTTGCATCGTCTTATTTTGCGAAAAATGTGAAAAGTTAAAAATTTCAAGGTTTTAATGCCAATCGATTGGAAATTAAGCAACGAGCTCAACGAGGAATGACATTTCTCGATCTGACGTATACTTTCTTTGAAGCAGCCAAAAAACTGAATTTTTAGGACGAAAAAATAAGGTTCCGATTTTAGTCGAAAGTACGAGAATCAGATTTTTGTCAAAAATACGATTTTTTCAAGTTTTTCAATCGTAGTTTGGTCAAATCAAGGCGTACACCTAAAAGACCGACTGTTTTGAACAGCTTGCTTCCTATGCAAACGATTTTAATCACTTTAAGGAAAATCTATTTTTTGACCAAATTTCTCATTTTTTGTCTTTTTTTGCGAAAAATGTGAAAAGTTGAAAATTTCCAGGTTTTAATGCCAATCGATTGGAAATTAAGCAACGAGCGCAAAGAGGTATGACACTCTTCGATCTGACGTTTATTTTCTTTGTAGCAGCCAAAAAACTTAATTTTTAGGGCGATAAAATGGGGTTCCGATTTTAGTCAAAAATACAAGATTCAGATTTTAGTCAAAAATACGATTTTTCTTTCCAGTTTTTCAATCGTTGCTTTGCAAAATCAAGGCGTACAGTTAGAGGACCGACTGCTTTGAACAGTTTGCTACCTATGCTAACGATCCCAATCATTTTACAATTTAGCTCATACCGTTAAAATTTTAAATTTTATCTAATATCTTTAAAACGCCAGTTAAGTTACTATGGTACTATGGTTTCGCGGCAAAGGTAGTGATAATTCTTTCTCTTTTAGTTCACCGTGTTTGTCATCCCAAAATAAATTTTACATCATCTGTCGCTGAAAACTAAATTTCTTAGATAACTTCCCAAAGTCGCTCTATTAAAGAAAATACATTTTATAAATGTTTCATTAAATTCGCCAAAAACTGTTCGTTTTGCCATTTTCTCGCTGATTAGGAGCGTCTTCATTTAATTAAAAGTGTCGTCGAAGACTTATGCTCTGCAATAGCAATCACTATCACTATCAATTGAGGCGTACACCCCGGGAACACGCCCGATATCTTTACGGGTCTAATGTAATTGGGATTTGCCTGACGGCGTTTGCCAGCTGACGCAAGCGGCTAAATATTTTCATTTCCTTATCAGTGTTGCTTTTGTTTAGATGTAGACACATTTATTTATATATATATATATATATCTAGAGCCGGGGTATAAGGTACATATATGCTTTATTGGAAACACACACACACTCGCCAGTGGTTTATTTACAGTGTTGGTTAAATAATAGCAGCTAGTGATAGAATATTTCCAACAAATAGTAAAAAAAAAATACAATAAGAGTTAGGAGTAAACAAAAAAATGATATAAAGTAATGGATATGATGGATATGTATATGCATATGGAAAGCCGCTGCGCATCCGATTCTTTGTACTCTCCTCGTTGATTCCGATCCTCAATCATTGAGCATATTGCACAAAAGTATATGTATACATCCGGATTATAACCGACCCAATCAGTTGCCGAATTTAATGGACTTTTCCGGCTGGTGAGAGGAGCCGTGATTGAAGCTGGCGCTGCTCCGGTTGGTTCCGTTCTTCAGGATCCCATTGGAACCGGACTCTCCGTTCGTTTTTCGCAGGGTTTCGCGCTTTCCCATCGTCCTCTGATCCCCGTACTCCCCGATGGTCACCGTGCCCAATCGCAGCGTTCGCCTTTGCTGCTGACTCGTGGGCAGTCCAGATCCAGATCCCGATCCCGCTCCTGCTCCTTTTCCTGCTCCATTTCCTGGAGGGGATCTCAGTTGGACGGCGTCGTAGTCGGGTTGGGGCGTGGCTGGTGGCCGGAAACCACCCACACTGATGCTGGCACTGCGCATGGGCGACATGGGCTGCTTGACCTTGGCCAAGCTGCCGTTGCCCAATCCTATCCCACTTCCGTTTCCGTTCGCCGCTCCATTTCCGGTCGTCAGCTTGAGCTGCTGGGGCGGCATCTGCTTTGGCTGGGGATTGGCGAACTGTGGCGGCTGCAAAAAAAATTACAAGAGGATTAAAAACTGAAACATAATTTTTGATAGTTAATTGTTTAAGGCAATGCCCAAAAATAGACCAAACACCCAAAAACGATCTATCAAAGTAATTAATACAAATTATAAAAACAATCATTCTTCTGGTTTTTTATAGTTATAAGCCTTGTTTACTTTTAATTGATGCAAAATTATTTCAAATGTAACTATGTGATTAATTTTTATTTAAGCTAACGTAGGTTAAGGCCACAGTAGCTTTAGCTGCAGTAAAGAGCATAGGTTATAGGTAATTTCTCAATTGCCTTTTAACCTGAGAATAAATAAATAAATAAATCAATTTTTTAAGTTAAACAAGCTGAAGTACAACAAAATAAAGTTAGCCCCATATACAAAGGTATATCTCAAGGTAGACCCATGCTATAGATCCATTATAAAGCCCTTGTAAGATTGCGGTTTTTACTAAAAGATAGCATTAAAAAATAATAATGATGATTACTTTTTCTCACAAAAAGATTACAAGGTTCTAGAGCCCTTAAACAATGATAAAACGTTTTTTTTGCAACTGAGTCATTGTAGAAAATGTACTTTATTTTAAAACCAAAATGGCTTAAAATTAATTTTTCTTTTAATGCATATAAGTATAGGCTGTTTACAATAAAATATTCCAAAACATCATTTTGCATAAACCGAGCTATTATTGATAACCATTAAGAGTAGACCCCCATACTAAAATTATGGGATATGGATAAAGACGTTTCGGATTTGAGTTTAGTGGGTAGTTTTATTGAAAGCTGACAGCTGTTGGGTTGTTCTTGGGTTATTTTGGGGATATTGGTGGACACTCGGACACGGGTCATTCGCTTACCGGAGGCGGAAGTTCCGGCGATCCATTGCCATTCGCCGAATTAAATCCATTTTGGGGCTGCAAGCGATTATTGTTGCTCGTGTTGCTGTTGCTGTTGCTGTTGCTCGTGTTGCTGCTGCTGCTGCCGTTGCTCCTGTTGCTGCTGAAACCATTGTTGTTGATACTATTCCGATAACAGCTCTCATCGGGCATAATAGAGGTGCGTTTCAGCGTTTCAACGCGCTCCTGCGAAAGAAAATGCCAGAAAGAAAAACCCAAATTAGCAATAGATCAAACAATTGGTGAATGGTTCCCCCCAAAGGAAATACCTGATAAGTGGACATAGTCACCAGGGGTCGACCCATGCTAACGGGTCGCATGGTAGGCATGACCCCTGACCCTTCGCCCCCTTCTCCACCGTTTTTCACTCGCAGCAAACTCATTTTCCGGCCGTAATGCGATCTATTCCGTAGCGAGTTCTTGCCAAGACTGGACAACTTCGGCGGCGCAGTTGGGTTCATCGCTCACCGCCCAACGCCGCCGATTAGATAAAGCCATTGAGGAGTAGTCACAGCACAGAACAGTCAACTCAACAAAAATATGTTCCACCTGTTTGCTTTTGGCCATTTGTTTGCCCGGGTTTTTGTTTTGGTTTCTCTAACATTTTCTCGCTCATTTTTCGTCACCCAGATCGCATGAGTCATCCCAAGTGTGGAACTT